CTGAGTGCACCTGACTCCCTTAAAAAACTGGTCCAAACACACATTTCGGATCCGGGTCGGATCGTCCAACAAAGCTTCTGCTACGACCTGTCTCGAAATTGGTCTGTTTCAGTGTCTTGGGGTTACACTGTGCAGCTATACCCATCACTGGTGACTTCAAAGGTGTTGCAAACTCCATTTCAAACATTTGTGACATGGAAGAGTTCGAGTCAAGGTCCATTCATATTTAATACCCGGGTCTTTAGCCCCGACCCGTGTGATAGGCCAGTTATTTTTTTCTTGGACCAGGCTGAGATGGTCAAGATGAGTGAAACCCTGACGACGTATAAGAAGGTTTTGGCTGAGCCAGGGTTGGGATGTTTTCGGACCGAATATGTTAATGCTACTTTGGTTCAGTTGGTCAATGTCTCAGCGGCCCCATTCCAGTCCAACACGTGGAAGAAGGTAAGAAACTTGTCTGTGGCCACCAATTTAGATTAAAAAAATACATACAGATTAAATCGAATTTTCGACCTATTTGATTATTTGTTCATATTTTTAAATTAATTTAAATACACGTATATTAATTAATCGGGCATTATTAATCATATAATGAGGTTACATTTATCATGAATCCCTCGTGGATCAAAATAGTTTGAAATTTTTAATTTCTTCTATTTGCGGATATGGCTACCAATTCTGCCTACAAGTCTTTGGAGCTACAACTCTATATAAAGCGTTTATTTTCTATTTTCAACTAGGGAATTAAAAGTGAAAAATGGAAAAAAGTACCCATTAAAAAATATGGAGAGGGCAATAAGAAAAGAAATAGGGGAAAAAAATGTCAAAAAAAAAAAAATTATAACTAAACTAAACAGGCGACTAATGTCTCTTGGGGAGTTGATATTTTGGTTTAAAAGTCATTAAAAAGGCAATAAATTATATAAAAAAGTCAAAGATTTTTCGTAAAAAGCCATAAAATATCCCAAATATATTAGTTTTTTTTTAAAAAAAAAATTATATTTCAATCAAAAAACTAAAAAAAATATTAAAATAATCTGTTTCCAAATAAGACCTAAATCCTCTAAACTTTGTTCTTCCATAATAAAATATTTTTGTCATTTTGCTGATAAATGTAGACTATAAGTCACGTAAATTGTCTGTTTCCGTTTTTATTTGTTTTATTCACATTAATTAATTTAATTCCCAAATTAGCAAGGTTTTACAATAAAAATACATTTCAGTTCCATCATTACTTTTCATAATGTCGGGACAATGTAGTTCATATAAATAGAGCTCATAGGCGATTGTATCATGACTGTAGTGACTTGTAACCATGTGAGATTTGTAGTCTTATATAGATCATGTACATTGGACGAGATTCAAATTCTGGCTTTAATTATGAAGATATGTTCAGAAAAAAATTTTATTTTTAGTTGGAACCCAATTTTGAGCCTATGTAATGGACTAACATGCATTAGCAACGATTAAATGCGCAGGCGCCAAGAAGGCAATGTTGTGAAATCGTCAATGGTGGCACAAATGGGGCCGACAGTGTCATACAAGTCAGAGTACGAGGTTGCAATCGTTGGGAATCGATAACACCACCAATTTAGATGATAAAATGGTTTTGGGTGGTCCAAATTTGCTTCATCTCTTAACATGCGTTGTGAAATCCCACTCTATCCAACACCGTCCCATTTACAAATTCTCAACTTTTGTTTTGCGGAAATTTTCCTATTTATGATCTTATTGAGAGGGACATCACGTAAACAAAAATTCCTCTTCAATCAGCCTAATATAGTAAAATAGCAAATATATAATATAAAATACTATTTTTGGCCTTTTTTGACTCTTGAAGGCCTTTGGTGTTGGGTCATTAGTAAATGTAAGGGTTGACCCGACCTCCCATCAAGCACTCGGCTTATGTGGCGTGGATCAACATGAACCCCAAAAATGATAATGTGAGCCTTGCTATTGGTACCTATGGTTGTACTAAGGCGGTCAAAAGTTAAAAAGCCTATCTTATTTTGGAAGATAAGGATGGACGTCCATGGGGTCGGGCCGGATTTAGGCCGGCTGTATATTAAAAATTTTTAAAATAATAAAAAGTAACAAATAAAAAAATATCGTTGAACCTCGCTTGACTTGACATTAAGCACTATCAAAGATTTTTATATAAATTTTATTAAAAATATATTAATAATCAGTCAAGCTGGCTTAGTTAAATTTGGAAGGTGTGTAGTCGTCTCCCATGTTACTTATGTTTAGATTGCAGATCTTAGGCCTACCTTGCCAAATCACTTGGTCGTCTAACTAATTGTATTTCATCATCTCTCAATATTAAACCTATTTTTGGAGACATATAAGTAAATTATTGGAAAAACACAACCAACTATTGCATTTTAGGAAAAAGACAGAATAATTGCTTTAATATACCTTGTCATGTGTATAAGAAGAAACAATAAACAAATCAATGTGCTTGTTTTCAAATTTTAAGGTAATCATTGAGATATAGGCATGTTTGGCTCAATCTAGCCAAGCCTTTCCCCAAGGCTATAGGTTTGGCTCATTGTTACGCACAAAAGAAAATATGAAGGATTATAAACCAAAAATATGTTTGCTTCTACCCAGGGCCGGCTTTGGGGTAAAGCCCACAAAGCAGCCACTTTGAAGTCCCAAAAAATATTTTTAAAAAGGCTCCAAAACTATAGTAAATATATTGGTTCATAAAAAAGGCCGACTTGAGGTAGAAAGATCTAAAATTTCTTATAAGAAGAGGCCCAATTTGAATAAAAAGGCCCAATATGTTGATATCTCAATTTATATTTTAAATACAACTGAGATATAATTACATACATATAATAAAATCAAAGGTAACGTTTCATAGAGTTTTAGAATTATAATTTGAAAATAGAGTTTGTATTTTGAGTTTGTGAGTTTTGAAATTTTGATTTAAGTGTAGAAAATTTGTTTGAATTGAGTTTGAAATAAATGATGTGACATATGATATTTGATTAAAAAATTTACAACTCATAACCAAACACACAACCCAAAATTCTATTCAAAGCTCATAAAATTTTTAAAAAAATCCGAAAATATATATATATATATATATATTTTTTTTTTGAAATATAAAAATAAAAAATAAAAAAAACTAAACACTGTTCCGGTCAACCGACCAAACGTCCTGGGGGAGATCCAGGGGATGGTCGGGTAGACATGTTTTGAAAAATAGATGTGGAATTAATTTCGAAAGCGCTAACCAAACACTACAATCAAACCAAGGGATGGAATCAACTTTGAAAAGCTTTACCAAAGACACCGAAAGTTTTTACTAGTTGGTTTTTGTCAGCAATAAGAATTAGAGTATTCATCTAATTTTTTTTAAAACTAATTGAAGAACTACTATATTTCTTAGCTTTTTATGTGTTGATTTTTTTATTTTTTTCTGTTTTTTTATTTGTTCAACTATGATGGAAAGTTTTAAATTTGTAATATAAAGTTGGGTTTTAAGATACAAACTCTGTAATAGAGATGGATTCTTATTTTTGTTTGATTAAATATTTATTTGATCATTAATTATATATTGTCTATTATGATTACATATTTTTATTATTTTTTATTTTTCCTTTCATTGATTATTTGATTTGTAATGATTGAGGATTAAGTCAACATTATGCTGATGTTAACAACTTTTGATAAACTATATCAAACATGTCACTATTCCTAGAAAGTATAATTTTAAACATGAAAAAAAAGAAAAAGAAATAAAGAATAGAATACTTTTTATTTGGTACTCTAACTTATATTTTAGTCTTTTTTATTAATATAAAATTTGTTATATATTTAAGTAAATTTTAATAGCCTTTTTGTGAGTACTATTAAATGCAAAAATTTAAAACAAAATTCAATATATAATCTTTTGATCATGTTAAGAGAGAGAGAGAGAGAGAGAGAGAGAGAGAGAGAGAATATAACTCTGTATATTTCAATGAATGAATATGAATGAATACAAGACTCCTTTATATAGGAGAATGATAAGCTAATGTGGTAATGTGCAATATGGTAATAACACAATATGGTTAGAAGCTAATATGGTAATGCACAATATGGTAATAACACAATATGGTAATGCATATTACGGTAATATAGATATATACCGCTAACACCCCCCCTGAAGCTTTAAGTGGTAATGCAGATATGAACTTGAGCTTGGAAAGTAAGTTAGAAAAGCATCTTGGAGGATGAGCCTTGGTAAAGATGTCAACTGTCTAATTGACAGAGCTAACAAAGATAAGACAAACAGTGCCACTAGTAACATGTTGCCTCATGAAGTGACAATCAATCTCAATATGCTTGGTGCGATCATGAAAGACATCATTATGTGCAATCTAAATAGCACCCTGATTGTCACAATAAAGGTTAGTGGCAGTAGGATAAGAAACTTTCATATCAAAAAGAAGCCAACGAAGCCACACAAGCTTTTGAGTACAGTCAGCAAGAACACGATATTCAACTTCAGTATTAGAACAAGCAATAAAAGTTTGTTTCTTGCTACACTAGGCAATGAGAGAATCACTCAAGAAGAAGCAAAACCCTATAGTAGAACGGCAATCAGTAGGATTCTCTGCCCAATCTACATCAGAAAAGATGTGTAGCTGTAGAGAAGAGTGTGCTTAGCAGTGAAGATCGTGAAACATAGTGCCTTTGAGGTAGTGCAAAATGTGAAATAGACCATCATAGTGTGGAAAGTGAGGAGCAGCCATAAACTAACTGACAATGTGAACTGTACAGGCAATGTCTGGACAAGTAACCGCGAGATCGACAAGACTGTCAACTTGCTGACGATATAAAGTAGCATCAGATAATATGTGACCATCAAGAGGTGTGAGACGAGTCTGAGGATTAACTAGGGTAGGTGCAATCTTGCAATCAGCAAGACCATCACGAGCTAAAAGATCAGATGTGTACTTGGTCTAGGTAAGAAAGTAACCAGAAGAATCTTGAGAAATTTCCAAGCCGAAGAAGTAGCTAAGTAGACCCAAATCTTACATCTCAAACTGGAGTCTGAGGAACTATTTAAGACTAGAGATACCCATTGTGTCATCCTGTAATAACCCTCATCACTGCTTACCGATAAACATTGATTACCGCCAAACTGAACTGATTATGACTGATAATTGAACTGATTAAAGTACTGAACTGACTGACTGAAAACTGGAACTGAATTGACTGAGTCTATCTGTTTAATTGTGCATCTATCTGTTTGATTGATTATTTGATCTGTTCGTGTTTTAGTATTTAAACGGCTAATTGAAGGCCTTATCGGCGGCCGAATCGGGAATTGATTGATGTTTTATGATCCTCATAATTATTGTGATTTTATGGTATATTTATCTGAAAACTGATTAGGTATGATTAAACTAGATTAAAATGAGTTAATTACAAAGTTTGCCGTAATTATCGTTTTGCCACCGAGTGGCCCACTACCTAGTTATGCTAGAGCCTTGCATACTTGACTCTAAACATCTCTTAAGCTCCATTTCTTGCACACAAACCGACCATAGGGAGGCGAGAGTGAGAGATTGAGTTGTTCATCTTGAGTTCTTGAAGATTTGGCTTAGACAACTTGGAGGATTGAAAGTTGATTGTTGATTTGTGGTTTTACACTTGTAATTGAAGCTCTAGGTAAGAGAATTCAACCTTTATTGATGTGTTTGAGCTTGTTCTTGCATGATTCATGCCAAAATTGAGAATTGAGCCATGATTTAGTGCTAGCATGTTGTAATAGAGCATAATTCATGCATGAATGTTAGTATTGTGGGATTTTGAGTTGAGTTCATGGCAAATTGTCACATGCATGTCCATAATTTTGTAATGGTCCATGTTTTCAACTTGTTTTTGGATCAATTGGCTCCTTAGAGCATCAAATTGAAGCTTTGAATTGATTTGAATTCATGCATGTTTGCATGTTCTCCATGTTCATGAAAATGGTTTGAAATTGGGTTTGAATTAAACACCCTTGGGCTTTGATTTCTCAAAATTGAGCTTTGAACCATGTTATTCTATGTGTTTACAAATGTTTTCTGGAAATTCAGCCCAAGAGGTCGAGTTTTGAATTGTGAAAGCTTGGTTTGAGCTTGGAGGTGCAATCTGGGTTTTCCAGATTTTTGCACTTCCGCTCGAGCGGGGAATTGGGCGCTCGAGCGGAGAATCCGAGCATCCAGTATTTCTCTGCACTGTTTTACAGTCCGCTCGAGCGGAGGATTGGGCGCTCGAGCGGAGTCTTGTGTCCCAAGCTCGAACGGGCGTCGAGCGGAGATTTCACCCATCCAGTACTTTTACAGTACGCTCGAGCGGGAAAGTTAACGCTCGAGCATGTACATTTGTTGCATGTCCGCTCGAGCGGGGAAACCTGCGCTCGAGCGGGACTCTGTTTTCTGAAAATTCTGAAACTGTTTTCTGATCACATCTTTGCATCCTCATTCCATTCTAGGCATTCCTAGGTCTAGTTTAAGACATCTTATTGAGGATATAAATGTAGAACACACCGAGGCAAATTAGGGATTAAGTTATGATATTTCCCAACTGTGTAGCTTAGTGTGTGTTCAACCTGTGAACTGTGTAGGGTTGGCGACTGGGGAGGCACGCTCTAGCATACCGTAGCCCAGAACTCTGTGAGTAACAATTGTGTAAAGATATGTTCACAAATGATTACTGAACAACTGAAATACTGATTGAATTGAACTGTTTTCATTACTGTAAGGACATTCATTCTAAACCCCTTTACGCTTTATGTTATTCACTGGGCTTTAGCTCACTGCTCATATATATATGTAGGTGTACA